GCTCATCAGTGTCCTTAGCAAAAGTTTTCCTTGCCCTGGCCAGGTAGTTCAGTTGATTAGAGCATCATCTGGATATGCCAAGGTTGCAGGTTCAATCCCCAGTCAGAGCACATATAAGAAACAATAAATAAATGCATAAGTAAGTGGAAGAACAAATCAAAGTCTCTCTCTTGTTCTAAAATCAATATTTTTTTAAAAAAAAAATAAAACAGTTTTCCAAAGAGTTGAGGAACAAAAGATAAGGAAATAGAATAATGAGTACACATTATTATTTCAAGAACCCAGCTGGGAAGAAATGGACACACAATAATAACAGACAATTGGAAAGTAATGGGAGAGTTACCCTTCTCTTCTGGCATATAGAGTTTCATTATCATTTTGAAAGTTCTCATAGATCTTTAAAAACTCCACAAAATTATTCTAAAATTCATCTAGTAGAAGAAATATGCAAGAACACCAAGAAAATTCTGAAAAAGAAGACCAGTGATGGAGCTTACCTCTTAGTCCCTTGACCTCCTCCTTTCTACTTCTCTGCTCTAACTCAGCCAGAGGCTCCCCTGGTCATACCCTCGGTGAGGTCAACAATTACAGCTATTTTGCTTTCAAAATAGTTTATCCATTCTGTTTCTGACCACAACATACTGTTCTTCAAGCTTGATTGTTTAAATATACCCACTATGCCGGTTTAATGATCTTATCAAGATTTTCAGTTCATTGCCTTTCTGACTTTTTCCAACTCACCAGCCCTCTCCTTTTTTCCTCTTCTTTTTTTAATCCAGCTCAAGGACATACTAACCCAAAGGGGTTCCGGTTAGTACGTCTCATTCTTTTTATTGCTCTCATCTTCCCAAATCCTAAACCTGCCTAGCCCGTTTAACCATCAGCTTTCTCCATGCTTTCATTCTCCACCACAGCACAACTAAAGAATGCCACAAAAAGGCAAGTTAAAGACTATAACTTTATGACAACTATAAATGTATAGTCCAACCATCATTGCAAGTAAGTCCTTACAACCGTACACTATAAGAAGTCTACCCAACTCCTCTCGTCACCTCATTCTCCTTACTTTGGTGGGAGAAGATGGAGATGGGTGAACATATTCATACTCTGATAGAAACGTCTTTCTAAGCATCGTCAAATAACAAAAATAAGACAATTTAGTAACAAGTTTGATGTCCTTTATTCAAGGGAAAACAATTTGTGGGTTGGGGAGGACAATGCCTTACAGTCGGTGGAGCGCTTTTCCTGAGGGACATTTAATACAACATTAGAAGCAGCAGCATGAAAACAGGGCACAAGTGGCTGTGCTGGCAGGTCCTACTTTCAAGGTAAGCTAAGGTTAAGTGGGAGGATTCTGACTGGTGTGTGTTCGATTTTTTTTAACAGTGAGACATTTCCCACAAGTACAGGATGACTTAGGTTTTTCTGGCCTCCAGTTTGTGGGCCCCTGAATTAGTTTTTGAACCCAATTCTATTCAGTGGGGGGGGGGGGAAGGTTTCTCTCCCACCACACCAAGCAATGCTCAGGTCACCAGCCGGATATCCCACAATTCAATGCAATACTGATACTACCTACCAGAAGATAGCATAAGGTTCCACAGGTTAAGGGTCCAGTCCTACAAGACTGTCCCCCTACCCCATCCTCAGATGCCAATTGCAAGCCCAGATCATTACCTATGCTTCTGACTGACCAGCTACATATGGAGGTTTCAACAACACCCTCCAACTTCAAATGCCAAATGCAAGTTTATATTGTCAACTGTGCTTCCGACTAACTGGCTATAAATCAGAGGTCCCTGTGTCTACCTCCTAAGGATCAAATAATTTGCTAGAGTAGCTCGCAGAACTCAAAAAAACATTTTACTTACTAGATCACTGGTTTATTATATAAAGATATAACACAGTACAAACAGATGGAAGAGATGCACAGGGAAATGTATGGAGAAAGAGCATGAAGCTTTTATGTATGCGCTCTCCAAGTGCACCGCTCCCCCCACATCTCCATATGCTCACCAACCCAGAAGCTCTCTAAACCCTATCATTTTGGGGTTCTTATGGAGATTTCAATACATAGGTATAAGTGATTAAATCATTGGCCGTTGGCAATTGGTTCAGCCTCCAGCCCATCTCCTCTCCCAGAAGGTTGAAGTGTGAGAATCAAAGTTCCGATTCGCCAATCACAGTTTGGGTTCCCCTCACCACAAGCCCCTACGATTAGATGACCTACAGACATTCCAAAAATTGCAGACAGATCGAAGTGCTAAAGTATAGAAAACCTGGGTTCACCTCTTCCCTCAAATATACCGAAACTACAACCGAATATAAAGTAGCTCTCTCTGAGAATGACCTGAAGACTAGCAGAATAGATTCTCTACAACTATGGATATAAAGCAAAAGCCATATTGAGACAGGTGAGAGGGGCAGAGGTGTGGCAACCCATAAACAGGAGGGATATCAGAAGTGCAGGGAGACCCCCCCAGAGACCAAGCTCTTAGAGACCCAACTCAGGCTCCCCTGCCTGGGAGGCCTGCGTCAGGAAGAGGAGCCCCCATAACATCTGGCCATGAACACCAGGGAGGCTTACATCCCAAAGAGCTGATGGGAATATGGAAAACCAAGAATCCTCCCTTAAAGGGCCCATGCACAAACTTACTCACTCTGAGTCCCAGCATGGAACAGCAGGTTGAAAGGTGCCTGGGTCATACGTGAGGAAGATATATTGACTAGTTTTAGACTGTGTGCCTGGAGGATCTGTGGAGGTGTTCTCCAGGAAGGAGGCACTTGCAGGCACCAATTTTTCATTGTTTGCTTTATTTGTCCTGCTCCCATCCAAAAGGCCCAAACTGGCAGGCACCAGGTCTGACACTCTCCATTAACCTGCTAGTTTATCCACCTGCTTGTTATTCCCCTGAAGACCTTCCCAGCCCAATCTCCTCACCCAGTCCAGTGTTTACCCTACAAACCTGCTCTCCATCTCCAAGCAACCAGCAGATACCCTGTTGGTCCTCCAAATTGGCATCCCACCTTCCAGTACTCCAAGGGTGCTCTAGCAGGCTTGCAAAGTGGTAGCATGCCCCCAGCACCCAGCAGATGGCACAAGTGCACCCCCAAAGTGGGATCGAGGGGCTAGCCTCATCCCCCACTAATACATCTGCCACAGTGACACTGCCACAGTGACAACCAAGCCTTATAGCCAGGTAGGCCAGGGGCCAGCCAACAGTCTCAACAGTCTCAACCCACTTGCTGGGGGAGGCCATATGCAGCCCACACCGAGGACACCCCTGGAACACGTGGCCTTGGTGACCACTGAAGTTTGTGCTACTGGGCCCCACTGGACACCTACATAAAGCCACTCTTTCAATATCTTTAGATGTAGCTGATCTACCTAATAGGTAAAAACAAACACAGAGTCCTAGGCAAAATGAGAAGTTACAAATTATGTTCCAAATAACAGAATGAAGCAAAAACCTAGTAAAAGAACTAAATGAAATGGAAATAAACAGTCTACCAGATAGATTTCAAAGTAATGGGCACAAGGATACTTATTAAATTTAAGAGATGTATGGATGAACACAGTGAGAAGTTTAGCAGAGAGACAGAAAATATTCTTATAAAATAAAAACTGAAGAATACAATAAGTGAAATGAAAAATACACTAGAAGAAATCAAAGGCAAAAGAACTGATTGGCAACATAAAAGAAAGGTGCAGGGGAAGGAAGGGGAAAAACATCGATGTAAGAAAGAAATATCAATCGGTCGGCTCCTGCATGCATCCCAGTCAGGGGCTGAACTCACAACCCAGGCATGTGCCCTGACTGGGAATTGAACCCACGACCTTTCAGTTTCCAGGATGATGCCTGAACGATTGAGTAACACTGGCCAGGGCCTATTTTTAATTTTTTGAGGAACCTCCATACTACATTCCATACTGATTATACCAATTTATATTCCCACCAACTATGTATAAGGGTGCACGGCCAAAGCCTTTCCAACATGTATGTCTTGTCTTTTTGATGATAGAAACTGTATCCCTGCCTGGTGTGGCTCAGTGGATTGAGTGCCAGCCTGAGAACTGAAAGGTTGCTGGATTGATTCCCAGTCAGGGCACATGCCTGAGTTGCAAGCCAGGTCCCCAGCAGGGTGCATATGAGAGGTAACCACACATTAATGTTTCTCTCCCTCCTTTCCCTTCTCTCTAAAAATAGATAAATAAAATCTTTTTTAAAAAAAATTCTAACATGTGTAAGGTACTATCTCATTATAGTCTTGATTTTCATTTTTCTGATGAGTAGTAATGTTGATCAACGTTTTTTTGTTTTTAAATATCAGTGTATGGTTGCCTCTCGTGCATCCCCTGCTGGGAACTGGCCTGCAACCCAGGCATGTGCCCTGCCTGGGGGCTTTTCGATTTGGGAGACAGTGACCAATCAACTGAGCCACACCAGTCAGCGTTTTATTTTTTTTAATAGCAGAAGAAGTGATTCAATTTCTTGAAATTAGTATTTTTTGAAAATCCTCACCCCAAAATATATTTATTGATTTTAGGGAGAGGAAGAGAGAAAGAGAGAGAGAGTGAGAAACACAGAGAAACATTGATGTGAGACAAACATTGAAGGATTGCTTCCCGCACATGCCCTGTCCAGGGACCGAACAACCTAGGTATGTGCCTTAACCAGCAACCTAACTGCAAACTTTTGGTATTTGGGACGACACTCCAACCAACCGAGCCACCCAGCCAGGGTAAGGCATTGCTCTAAAAGGCCTAGAGAACAGACAGTGGGTGCTTCTCTTCTTTCCCTTTGTGTTAGTCATTTGGTGATTTACTGAAAGATGGCAGTTCTGGCTGAAAACTAGGTGTATTTTTCATTTTTGATACTATTATGAATGGAATGGTCTTCTTTATTTTTAGATAATTTATAGTTTGTGAATTTAAGATGCAGAAACTGAGAATTTCTAGATTCTAATGACACTGAATCTCTAGTGAATCATTATTGCCTTTATTATCTCCAAGGGACAGGAAGTTGTATCGCCCCTGTAGCTAAAAGGATATGGGGTGGAATCATTTGGTAATGGCAATTTTGAAGGTTAAGATGGAACCATGTAAGCTGTTTCTGACATCTTCTTGAAATCATTAAACAGGGAGGGAGATTCTGAAATAAAAAAGAAGTTAGAATAATATTTTTCTTCATCCTATTATTACACAAACATTTTATAACAGCATTTGGAAGACCACTGAACTACTCTCAAGAGAATACAAATGCGATACCTACATTTCTTCAACAGAATGATAAACACCGATATAAGAAAGGAGAATATCTGTAATTCTGTAAAGTCAATATGTGTTATACTAATAATGATATCTAATTAATAGGGAGACCATATATATCTTAGGCCAGTTCATCCATTTACTTTTCCCACTTACTTTCTAGAAAGAGATTGTCTTACATTTTCTTAAGATAGGTCAAGTAGTTAAATAACTAAGGCTCAATATAAGTGACAAATGGTGAAGAGAGTACGTGTCAATATTATTAGGCCCTGGCCAGTGTGGCTTAGTGAGTTGGAGCATTGTCCCATAAACCAAAGGGTTGAAGGTTCGATTCCTGGTCAGGGCACATACTCAGGTTGCAGGTTCAACCCCTGGTAGGGGCAAGTACAAGAAAGCAACTGATCAATGTTTCTCTTTCTCTCTTCCTCCCTTTCTCTCTCTTTCTCTCTTCCTCCCTTCCTCTTTCTGTAAAAGCAATGAAAAAAATGTCCAAAAATGTCCTTGAGTGAGGATTAAAAAAAATTATCAGGGAAAAAAATTATCAGAGAAGATTTTGAAGAAGGATGCTATTTTCTTTGTTTGCATTGGAATCTTTGTCTCTTAAAATAACTTACTAAAATTATGCAATGGAGTTCCAGTGCATACAGCTCCATCCACAGAGGCAAGTATCTTGGCCAGTGAACATCTTCCCCAGGTGGATAGTTGACAAAATTCCTCCAGCAGTGATCATGCTCTAAGGAAATAGAAAACTCAGTTCATTCAACAAATGCAACTAGAAGCTACCTAAAGAAAGCCGAACTTAAATATATACCATATATAAAGCCCTCTGTCCTACTTGATACTGCTGATGGACTAGACTCCCCCAGAATCCCCAAAAAGTTCAAAGTTCATTTCAAGATGGCTGAGTCCTGTCTGGTGTGGTTCAGTGGATTGAGTGCTGACCTGTGAACCAAAAGGCCGCCTGTTCAATTCCCAGTCAGGGCACATGCCTGGGTTGCAAGCCAGTCCCTAGTTGGAGGTGAGCAAGAGGGAACCTATTGATGTATCTCTCATACATTGATATTTCTCCTTTTCTTTCCCCTCCCTTCCCCTCTCTCTAAAAATAAATTTAAAAAATATTTTTAAAAAGAGAGAGAGATGGCTGAAAGGCCATAGTGGCAATGTAGAAAAAGGAGTCATATTTTTTATACTTTTTTTACAATGAATTTCAGAGCTGATCCTCTTATATATTATTTTGAACTTTTACTTCTAGATTTCCACTCTGAGACAGACAATCTCCTGCCCTGGAAACATATCACCACCACAATCTCTCATAAATACTTAAGATTCTTGTTTATTTTTCTTTAATTAAATTCATTAGGGTGAAATTGGTTTATAAAATTGTCTAGGTTTCATGTTTATGTATACAATCCTAAAATATTAAGATTCTTGGTTAATTGCTTTTACCTGGGGCTCTCATGATCTGGATAACCACACCACTGCTAACGAGGTCCCTGAGTCCTTGTCGATTTTGTTGATCTGTGTGGTGATAAAGCCGAGCTACATAAATAACTAAAGTCACACTAGGTCGTTGGCGCAAAAATTCTCTAATAGCTTTGCAGCATTCCCAGCAGGGACTCCAGGACATGAACCAGATAATCGAGCAGCTGATGGATGAGCACAAACGTCTTTCTGAAGCAAACTTTTCTATAAAATTGACTTCAACATGCTTGGTGGTGTTTTTGCCTGAGTTTCGCCAGATCTTGTGACTCGCGCCCCACTTGATTTCATAGAGCAGACAGGTCTCTTTCCGGAGCTCTCTGGGGTCAAAGAACACTTCAAATTCCCAAGGTTCGATTCTTCTCCTACAGTGTAAAAATGCACATTGTCATGCAATTTTTACCGGAACTTTAAAAATCATTTAATACTCCCCTCTTCTATAAGATAGATCCAAAACATAACATATCAGGAAACTTTTTTTTTATGTCCTAAAATTATTTGGGGATGTCCATTTGAATTAGCAGCGTTTCTATTACAAACACAGTGAACAGATTTCTCCCAACTCATGTTGTTTGGCTACCACTCCCTCCATACCATTGCTTGTTTGTCTTGAATTCAAGTATAAATATGTCCGTTTTCTCATTATATTCTAATCTTTCTGTTTTACTCTTAAAGGTGCCATGTCCCAATTGTTAATATTTACTACTCCTCAGGTATGGAAGCCTCAAATTACCAACGGAATTCTATTGCCAAGCCTATGAAGAGAGTAATTTAGCCTCAAGATTCCTCCACATTAAATTCTGTATATTAATACTTCATACAAAAGAAATTCAACCTGCTGTAAATGGCATCTTTAAATCTTACTCTCTGTGTGTCTAAGCTGTGACTGGAGAAACTCAGGATTGTGCTGCGGACTCTCCTTTCCATGGCTGAGTCATAAGCTTATTACATTCTAATGCTTCTCACTCACCCCTAAAGTATCGCATTCATTACACACATGAGTCCTTCTATCCATCATGAGATAAAGCTTTTATATTTCTTGACAAAAGTCCCCCTGTTGTAATAATTTGTCTGGAAAATGGGCATGTAATACAAAACAGGAAGATGAAATCAAGGTGACAAATCAGTTCCTTAGACTTTTCACGAATGGCTATAAAAAAAACGTGTGATTTAAAGAGAGAAGAGAATAGTGTGATTATAACAGAACAAAGCTGGAAGGTAATTCATTTAAGCAGAAAACAAAAGACATAGAAAGCAATCAACATAGAGAATGAAGTTGGAAAAGGGAAAAAAAAGAATGGGAACATGGTAAAAGAAGGAAAAATTATTAAAAAGGCTATAGTCCTCCAACTCTTTTTTTTTTAAGAGTGAGAAATATTGGTTTGCTTTTCCACTCATTTATGCATCACTGGTTGGCTCCTGCATGTGCCCTGACCAGGGATCAAACCCAAACCTTAGCATATTGGGACAACGCTCCAACCAACTGAGCTACCTGACCAGGGTAGTTCTCTGACTTTTAAACACCAAAGTTGGTATTTATTCTAGGTTGAATTAAGTGCAAATTATGATAGCATTATTCTTACCTCGCGGTGGGATCGCCAGCTGAAAGACCTGTTGACCGAGAGATGAGTATGTCAATAACACCCATATACAAATTGAGTTAAGAAAATAAAATGCTCTGTTCTTCTAAAACTGCCAACAATATCAGAAAATAGAGTTAGAAGATTCTCTCCTGGACTAGCTCATTGCATCAAGAAAAGCAAGATTTTTAAGGGCTCTGCTGAAATCTATTTGCCTGAACAAGGTAATCTTCTTTACAGCTCCAATGGAAGGATTAAGTGCAATGATAGCATCGCTTCTCAGAGCCTCCTAGGTGTCATTCCTATGCGCCCCCATAGCGTCCTCCACTTCCTTCATCAGAGCAGTTATCATGCTACATCATGACTACCTAGCTGCATGCCTATAATAACATATGGATTACATATATTTTGTTCCAGACTCTAATCTACTGAGTAAATGACTAAATGAATTTCACCATAGATCTTCTCTATCACAGAATAGCTATCTACCTAGATATATGTCTCTGTACATCTGTATCTACACAGAGAGTAAGAGACTGGATTTCTCACACATTGCTGCTGGGAATGTAAATTGGTAGTCACCCTGGGAAACTGTTTCACCATTTCTTAGAAAAAATCAACAAAAAATATAAGTACCATATAACCCAGAAGAATTCCGCTTCTGGACATTTATCTTAGAGACAGGAGAATTTATGTTCACACAAAAGTCTGTACACAAATGTCCATATTAGCTTTATTTGTAATATTTAAAAATTGGAATCTGCCCATACATCCAACAGGTGAATGGTTAAACAATTTGTGGGGCATCTGTACCATGGAATACTACTCTGCAGTAAAGTAACAAACTACTGATATATGCAGCAACTTGGATGAATCTCCAAGGAATTATGCCAAGTGGGAGAAGAAATTAATCTCCAAAAATTGCACACTGTATGATTTCATTGCTATAGCATTTTAAAATGACAAAATTCTAGAAGTAAAGACAGATCAACAGTTGTTATCAAGGGTGAGGAATGGAGTGAAGAGGGAGGGAGGAGGTTTGACTACAAAAGGCATCTGCACCAACTGGGACTGTTCAGATTTGTTTGTGGGGTAAACACACAGACCTGTACAGGTGACAAAATTGCATAAAGCTGAACACACCCACACAAGAGTACGAGTAAAACTGGAGAAAGCTGAATGAAATTGGTAGATTGTGTCAATGTTAATATCCTGGTTGTGATATTGTTCTATAGTTTTACAAAACGTAACTATTGGGGGAAACTGAGAAAAGTGTACAGGGAGTCTGTATTATTTCCTTTTTTTTCATAAAATTTTTTAAAGAAGATTTTTTAAATTTATTTTTAGAGAGAGGGAAAGGGAGGGAAAAAGATAGGGAGAGAAACACTGATGTGTGAGAGAAACATCTATTGTTTGCTTCCCACACACCCCCAACCTGGCCCGCAACCCAGGCATGTGCCCTCACTGGGAAATGAACCAGTGACCTTTCAGTTTGCAGAATGATACCCAACCCACTGCACCACACCAATCAGGACTGTAGTATTTCTTAAGGCTTCATGTTTTAAGCTATGATTATCTCAATTAAAATTACAATTTACAGAAACAATATTTGGTAGTATGGAGAGAAGCTGGGAAATCATTGGCTTAAAAAAATTTTTTTAAACTACAAATCAAGAGAAAGGAGAAAAGACATCAGCATAAGTGATGGGTAAGCAAAAGTATTTGCAAAAAGCATACAGGGAGATGTCATTGAACCAGTGAAAGAGAACCAGACTTCAGTTGGCTCTCTTCCCAATGGTTATGGAAGGCACTGACAGCAAAATCCTGCTGCAGAGACGTTCTAGAGGGTAGCAAATTTCTCTCTTTCAATTACATTACCCTGGAAGGAGCAAGAGAGATAGGCAATAATCATTGCTCTTAGAAGAAGGACAGAACAGTGGGGCCAGCAGCAGAACCGGGAACTAGGAAGTAAAAGCTGATGTGGTATGTTACCAGTTCCCAACGCACAAGGTATCGGAGAGTGGGATATAGCTGTCCCCCTTTACCCACAAGGGATGTGTTCTGAGACCCCTCCGTGCATGCCTGAAACCAGAGTGGTATTGAACCCTATACATACCATGTTGTTTCTTATATATAAAGTTTAATTTCTAAATTAGGCATGGTAAGAAATTAACAATGATAACTAATAATAAATAGAACAAGCATAACAATATATTGTAATAAAAGTTATGTGAATGTATGTGCTCTATCTCTCAAAATACGTTATTGAGCTGTACTGAACTTTTCACTTAAAGAAAGCACTTTACAGTTTCTCCTTGACAAATCTGAAATGCCAGCATCACTACTCTTGTGCTTTGGGGCCATTATGAAGTAGAATAAGGGTCACCTGAACACAAGCACTGTGATACCACGAAGTAACCTAGAGGGCTACTGTGTGACTAAGGGCAGGCTGGGAACATATGTACCATGGATCCAGTGGACAAAGGGGTGCTTCATATCCTGGGTGGGACAGAGCAGAAAGACACAAGAAGGGCACACAATTTAAAACTTATGAATTGTTTGTTTCTGGATTTTTAGTTACTATTTTCAGACTGCTATTGACTGCAGGTAACTGAAACCATGGATAAGGGAGGAGTGTCCTCCTGGTTCCTGCTTGTCAGAAGACTCCCTGGAATTGCCTGGAGCCCAGCTGGTCCTGTGCCCTTCAATTGGCTATCACAAAGGGGCAAAATACCCAGCACATCCAGGAAGAGAATATTAGTGACCAGCAGATAAGTCACCCCTGGAACCCGGCAAAGTACAATCTCCACAGGGTGGGGAGAGATTCACTTATATATTCTTTCAACAAATTCTGAGAGCCTATTAAATGTTAGTCTCTGTTCTAAATAGAAACCAGGAACAAAACAAACCCTTATCTTCATGTCAGTAGAGCTTATAAAGGGGGAGAGAGAGTATATGTAAACAAATACAGATATTAATTTAACAGTGACGAGTGCTATGAAAAGTATTGTAACGAGAACAAAGGTGAAGGCAGGACGAGGCAACCTTGCAGAGGTTAGTCGGGGAGGCTTTTTTGAAGAGGCCTGAATGGAAAGTGAAGCAAGACATGTGGACATCAAGGAAGAGCATTCTGAGCAGGGGAAACAGCAAGTGCAAAAACTTAAGGTGAGAAGATGCTGACATGTTTGAGGAAGAGCAAGGAGTAGCCTTGCTAGGCCAGAGGGATCAAGATCTACAATGGTGGCCCTGGCCTGTGTGGGTCAGTGGGTTGGAGCATTGTCCGTTAACCAAAAGATTGCAGGTTCGACTGGCGGGCAGGGCACACGCCTAGGCTGCAGGCTTGTCCCTGGTAGGGGCACATGCAAGAGGCAACAGATCGTATCAATTATTTCTCTCTTCCTCTCTCTCCTTCCCTTCCCCTCTCTCTAAAGCCAGTGGGCAGGTGAGGATGAAAAATAAAAAGATACACAATGATAAGAGATGAGCCTGACTATATAGGGCCTTCTACAGAGTGTGGGAATGATTCAAACTAAAAAAGTACTAGGTTTCAGAGGATTGTGCCTCTCAAGACCCAGAACTTTGGGGATGAAATGCGCACTGATCTAGCCTGGATCCAGACTAGTCATGGGGCAGAATTCCAAAACTTGGAGAGCAGAGAGACAACTCGTGTGTTTTACTTGGGAGAACATAGGCCATTTATTTCGGCAACGAGAACTCACTCATGCTAAGGATTTCCCCTCTAGTTATTCGGAAACTAAAATTTGCCTGGGGTGACATTAAAAGGCTCAATTACCATCACTAATGTCTCTTTTCCAAGAAAGCAGAGGTCCGTAAAGCTAGACACAAACCAAAGATTTTCCTACATGATACCCCTTCTCAGTGGGTCGGAGAGAGACACAAAAGGCCCTCCCACTCTGAGAGCGAAGTGGCATGTGGACCCACAGACAGCAGGTTCAGTCCACCCTCCAGGGCCAACCTTAACTCTCAGGTGCTATTTCTGAACCATAGTCACATCCGGGTGACACTTCCTCCGAAATAGGAGGTGTTCTGCTCAAGGCTGTGTGTGTGTGTGTGTGTGTGTGTGTGTGTGTGTGTGTGTGTGTGTTACAAAAACAACCCCCAGCCCCTGGGGTCTTTTCTTCCTCTGATTCTTCATGCCAGCCATCACCATTGCGTCAGGAACTGTGGCTCTCAATGCCGGAGTTTGGTAAAAAGGAAAGGAACTATTTAATTAAGTTATACAGGTTTTAGAGTAATGGCGGAATTCTGCCATTAAATCTCACTCCCTTTAGAAATGAAGATACACCCCAAAGACACAGCCCTGCCGTCCCCCCTTTGCCCAGTCAGGCCACTCTCAGAGCGCTCCAGTCAGAAGTACCGCCTTCCGCAAGACAAAAAACAGTCCGCAGCTCACTTCTCCCAGACCCTCCCAGTAATCTATCTGTGCTCTGCTGAACAGGTCTCCCACAGTTCCCAGCACCATCAGCTGTGTCCCTTCGGTCTCCAGTTCTTAATCCCAAACCATTCCGCACCTCCTCATGGCTAGCCATTGAGAGTCTTTTTGCCCCTTTTTTCCCCACATGGTCCCGCATTATTTCTCATCCTACATGTCTTTTTGTTTAAATCCCAGCCTGGAACTTCCTCTGTAACCCTAGTTCTGACTCCTCCCACAATCGGCTACACCTGCTAGCACTCTCCTATTCTCTGCCTTTCATGGCTGCCATAGTTAGTTCAGGCAGGTGTGGCCCCCTGGGGCGGAGTGAACCATCTTCAAACTCTCACACAGGCCTTGTAATGGGTGGTGGGTTCGGGGAGCTACCTCCCAGCTACACCATGAGTCTGGATACAGAACAGAGTCAAGAAACACTAGCCTAAGTGTGGCCTGAAGAATAAACCTCACCCTTAAAAGAAGGAACAGGGAATTTGAGCACTCAGAAGGAAAAGAAAAGGGATGGCTGAGACCTTGGAATAGGCACTGTTCAGACCTTAATCCAAATCAGGGCCCTGCAACCAGCTGATCTACTCCAGGGTGGGCCTTACAGAAACACAGAGGCCAGACCTACAAAAGAAGGTCATATCAATGATGGCAGGGCACTTGCTTTGAAGGAGGTGAAACAGCAGTGAGAACTTCAGAAAGAGAGAGACATTCTCAGTATCTACCCTTGGGATTTGAAGCAAAGATACCTGCCACGTGAGTCAGGAAGGTTTGAGGGATAAAACACACCACTTTTTAAGGAAAGTCCAGGGAAATTAACCTCGTACTTCAACTAAATAATGTCTTTAGTCCTTCCCCCAACATGACACTCACAAGACAATTTTTAAAGGGAGAAAATATAATGGAGAAAAAATATTGTTTTCTAAAACCCAAGACCGATAGCTGTATTATCCCCAGTCACGTCATGCCCGCACTCCTGCAATGATCAAACTGGTCTTCCTGCTTCCAGTCCAAAAGGCATCAAATGCCAGGTACGTGTGTCGAAAGCAGTATTTCAGTCATCTCCGGGCTATTTCCAAGTTCTCCAGAGATGTTCTCTCACCAAAAAGATTGACCTCAATTTCCTTAGCCTGACGTTCAAGACCCTGTATAATAACACATCAAATTTGCCTTCTAATTTCACTGGAGATTACTTCCACAAACTCTTCTCTAGCCTAACCAGTCTACTCCGTATATTCCAAACACAATCCTCTCAAGATCTTGTGTCAACCAACCTGGAATCGCCTTCTGTTCGCCAACCTAAATTCTACCCTTTTAGAATCCAGTTCAAATCCCACCTGATCTGAAAATTATTCCCTTCCAGAGCCCGCTGTGTTCTCCCTCTCTCGTGAATGTTTTACAGTTAACTAACTAAACCTTAAATAATTAACATGTCCCTGTGCTATCACTTCTGTTGTTATCTTAAATAGTTATTTAACAGTTGTACATTTTCCTGAATTTTTTATTATGGTGAAACAAGCCTTGATTTAGTGTCATTTGATCAAAATCATTTGTGGCTAGGAATAGTTACTATTAATATTAATAATAAATCTTATTTAACTGAGCACGTCCAGTCACCATTCTGGCAAAACTCCAGATTAATCCCCTTCAAAAAAAGAACACCAAAAAAGAACAAAAAAACCCAAAACAAATAATAATACTTACAGGAAGGCAGATAATTTTTAATGAAGTAAATAAAATCATATTTTTAAGAGAATAGTATTAATGTAATGATAAATAGGAAAGTTGGAACTTGCCCAAGGACACAAGCAAGACACACACACACACACACACACACAGAATTTCTGCTCGCTTCAAGAATACAGAGCTCACCTGGACCTCGATCCGTTTCACCTGTGTCGGAAGCCATGGCGTCCTGTCACTAGACCTCTTCCCTGGTGCGACAGATTGTGCTGATTGCTCCGTCTGGCAACGCCTGAACATTCCTCTCTGGTGTGACCACTGCCACCTGCTTGAGCAGAGGATGACTCATTCCTGAGTCTGGGGCACTCACTGGGTATCGAGGCTGTATACACAGGTAGCAGATTAAGAGAGAATTTGGGGTTGCAAAACAGTTCATGATACAAATAATGAATTCTGTAAAGTAAACCCCTGAGGATATCCGAATTACAAAGTTCTTCCCTAATAATATCTAAATTTTTTAAAGTTCCCTTTAAGTTAAGGCTAAGGCAAGACCGACGCATCACTCTTTCTTGGTGAACTGGCCTTGTTCTTTAGCTGCTTTTCATTTATTTATAACTTCCTCTTATTTTGCTCTTTGGCCCAGCTCCTGTTGGAAAGGGGAGGGGCACTGATAGATGCAAAATCAGAAGGACTTTGGCTCCTGAGTCAGGGAAGACCAAGTCCACTTACGTTTTCATATCCTCTGCTAAGAAGTGAATACTATACATCACAGGTGGCAAACACAAGGCCTGTGGGCCAAATACGACCCTCCACCTTGATTTCTACCTGGCAGCAGCTCCAACCTCCTTGCCCCTACTTAAGGAGTAGTTACATTTATACAGTCCTAAAATTACATTTGGCCCTTTGAAGGCAACCATAAGGCTGATGTGGCCCCCAGTGAAAATAAGTTTGACACTCCTACTATACATAGTCCCTGTCGCCATTGCTTCCTGTTGCCCAAAACCTGGGTCAGCCCCTCAGAGTTTTAGCACACATTCCAAGAATTGAGGTCTCAAATCTAGAGCCCCTGAACTTTGAATCTCAAACCTTATGAAATCAACATTTGAGTCCTAAATATAAGACTTTCCTTAATGATGAAAGTCAAGTGGGAGCCCTCACAAGGTGAAGCAGTTGTTTGGAGCGGCAGGTGAGAATTGAAGAAGGAGCAGGGTGCCACATCGTAGAAGAAGGTCCTTGAGAAGCCAAGAATTTCACGTGTGGTAGGTAGAATAATGACCCCCCTCCTAATCCCTGAAACCTCTAAGTATGTTACCTTATAAATGCAAAAGTAACTTTTAAGAGGTGTTTAGGGTAAGGATCTTGAGGTAGGGCAGTCCCAATCCAATCACAGGGACCCTTAAAAGAGGGAGGCAAAACAGCCAGTCAGAGAAGGACACATGAGGATGGAAGCAGAGATGCGAGTGATGTGATTACTGGCTGAAAATCAGGGGCCATGATTCAAAGCATGAGGACAACCTCTAGAAGCTGGAAAAAGCAAGGAAGTAGATTCTTCCCTTGAGCCTTGTGAAGCAATCTTGCCCTGATAACATCTTGATTTTAGCAAGATTCTATTTCGTACTTCTGACCACCAAAGCTGTAAGAAAAATTTATGTTGTTTTCCACCACTAAGTTTGTGAAAATTTGTTACAGCAGCTGCAGGAAACTCATACCGTAAGACACACGCCCAGGTGGCACATATGCAATAGTTAAGGTGGTATGTAATTTGAATTTGTTTCCACTAGAATTCTTATTGAATGCTTGATCCATCTTCTGTTTTGTTTTCAAAGAGAGTGAAGATAGGTCAGTGTCCTGTTCCTGGAAATTGGAGTTTTAAAAAATGTATACATATGTGACCATTCCACAATCAAGATGTTTAAAATTCTCATCACCCCCAAAATTCTCTGCCAATCTTGCTACTCCCAGTCCCAGACAACTGCTGATATTTCTGTCACTATAGATTAGTTTGTACTGCTCTATAATTTCATACAAATGGAATCATACAATGTTTTTGCTCAGTTTCTCTTTAAAACTGATCCATGTGATTAGGTGTGTAAGAGAGCTATTGCTTTTTATTGACAGGTAAATTCCTTTATATTGGTATGACACAATTTTTTATTCATTCACCCACTGATGGACTTTGGGTTATTTCCAGTTTTAAGCTATTACGCATAAGGATGATATTAACAACATTGTGTTTACTTCCTTATATAAACATGTTTCTTTTTCATTCTCTTGGGTACAGAACCTGGGAGTGGAATTGCTGGGTCAAACAGATAAGTGTATATTTAACTTTTAAGGAAATGCCCAACTGTGTACCCTGGCTGGTGTGGCTCAGTGGATGGAGTGCCAGCCTATGAACTGAAAGGTTACCAGTTTGATTCCCAGTCAGGGCACATGCCTGGGTTGTGGGCCAGGTCCCAAGTTGGGGGTGTGCGAATGGCAATCAATCCCATATCAGATATTTCTCTCTCTTCTTTCCCCTCTCTCTAAAAACAAATAAATAAAATCTTTTTGAAAAGAAAGTGCCCGATTGTTATACCAGTTTATGGCCTCACCAGGAGCATGTGAGTTTCAGTAGCTTAACATCCACAGTGACCTTTGTAATGTCAACCTTTTTAGCTGCAAATTTGCATGACTTTAGTATCTAACGATGAATTTTTTAAAGATCTTATTTATTTATTTTTAGAGAGGGGAGTGGAGGGAGAAAGACAGGGAGAGAAACATCCATGTGAGAGAGAAACATCAGTCAGTTGCCTCTTGCATGCCTCCAAGCAGGGACCTGGCCCACAACCCACACATGTGCCCTGACCAGGAATCAAACCAGTGACCCTTGGGTTCACAAGCTGGTGCTCAGCCCAAACTGAGCACCTCCAGTCAGGGCAGCACTTATTTCTAATAGATTTTTTTTTTTTACAGATTCCTTACTGTTTTCCAGGCAGCTGATCATATTGTTACTTCTTCCTTCCCAACATGTATGCCGTTTATTTCTTCTTGTTCCCTTAGCGTGATGACAAAGTACTTCAATAAAAAGGTCACTAGAGAAGATGAGAGTGATATCTCTGTGTTGTTCCCAGTCTGAGGGGGCAAACGTTCAGTTATTCACCCTTGAGTATAATGTCAGCTGTAGGTTCTTTACAGATGCCCTTCATCAGGCCAAAAAAGTTTCTCTTCATTTCTATTTTGTGGAGAATTTTTATCATGAATTGTAGTGAATTTTGCTACATTTTCTTTTGCATCTATTGGGATGATTATCTGATTCCCTCACCCACTTCAAGGCCTGTGAATGAGTGGGCCTGCTGAATAAGCTTACAAGTCTTGAAGCTTACAAGCTGTACAAGTGTACATTGTTTATATTTATATTTATGTTTATGTTTGTACTTATATTTTGGAGCAAGGATTCCTATCCTGTACTGATCTGCCCAAATCACAGCACATATCTTGACTCGCAGAACTCAGGCATGTTTAACAACTGATCCAACAGATTTAAGATTTTAATAGAGATACAGGATGACCTGGGGCCAAGGCCACTGGGCCTGTTCCTCTCTAAGGCATGACAGTGGCCTCAGGAGATAACATGATGAACTCAGGAGTAAACAAACCTGCCAAAAATAGAACTATGAGCAGGAGGAAATAGCCACTATCCTTTTCATAACTTTTCAAAAATAAAGTGAATGTATTAAACACAGACCCCAAATGAAAAGACTAAGGAAATACATCAGTACCCATTCAGTTCAATTCAGAAGTAAATGTAACTGTGATCGTTTGGGCTTTGGATACACATTTGCAATTTCAGAAAGGAGCCCAAACAGACTTACCTAAGAAAAAGAAGTTAAAAAAAACATGAACAGTGAAAGGACAGCAAACTCACACTTATTAACAACCACACCTAAAACGAAAGCAAACTAAAAGGACAGCTAGATCAGGAGTGGAACGATAGAAATGGAGATCACATGGAGGGCTAGCAATAGGGGAGTGGGAGGAGGAGATGGGGGGGAGAAGGTACAGAAAATAAGTAGCATAGACAGTAGGTAGAAAATAGATGGGGGGTGAGAATAGCATGGGAAATATAGAATCTAAAGGACTTGAGACACGTGGACATAAACTAAAGGGGGAGTAATGGTGGGGACGGGGGGTAGGGTGGAGGGGAATGAAGGGGGGAGTAGAACAACTGTAATGGCATGATCAATAAAAAAATAAATTAAAAAAAAAAAAGAAAGGAGCCCAAACAACTCAAGGCTTAAGGAAGAAAGACCATGCAGGACAGGTAGACAGATCCTCATCAGGTATGTCAGGAGACCAGGATTATTAAAATCACTGTTGTGCTTAGGAAACAGGAGCAAAGTTGCCTCTCCCCAAAGCAGTTGCAATCTCCAAAGGGAGGTGCCCTGCAGCCTGGACACACCCCTGCGTCGGGGAAAGAAAATACTAGAACATCTATTCCTGAAACACCGAGGTGAGCAGAAATTATTAGAACTTCTATTTTATCTAAAAGTAAAACTTAATAGGAACATTTTCAAGATATGTACAATATAGTAATATAATAATTAACATAATTTTGAATAAATTGGTATTCATATATTGGGGCATATGCTGGTTTTTCACTTGTACATATTCACATAATTTATAAGCAAATGTGCTATATGTTAAGCTCTATGATATAAGTGACTATCTTTATTTTCAGGACCTGGTACAAAATTGGCATATGAAAGACACAATAAAAGTCAGTTGCATGAAATAAACCTGACACTGTGGAGATAAATTAGTTCAGAAATAATCTGCCCTCGGTCCATTTCTCCATCAGGAAGGACATTGGTGTTGAGGAGAGTGTGACTGCCTTAGCTTCCAGTGCTTTGACAAAAGCTCAAATGTGTGGCCTTCTGGCCAAGGGTCTGTGGTTTTATCTGTTGGAGCCGGCATCGTATCCCTGGGCCTTGCAAGATTCCGTAAGTTTGCTGTGGCTGTACCAAGAAAGAAGGTATAAGCAGACTTCTATGTAATTATAGTTCCATGAAAGAATTTGAGGATATGAGGAAGACTGGTATCTTTCAGAAGGCAAAGTGATTTTGGAATGTAAAGAATTTTGGGGCCCTGGCTGGTGGGCCCAGTGGGTTGAGCACCAGCCTGTAAACCAAAAGGTCACTGTTCAAATCCCAGTCAGGGTATATACCTTGGTTGTGGGCCAGATTCCTGGTTGAAAGTGTGTTCATTGATCTTTCTTCCTCCTTTCCTTTAACTAAAATCTTTTTCTTAAGAATAAGAATTTTGGGGTGTTGATTTTGTGGAAGTTTGTCACTGACCTGTGTTCTTGAACTATAGAACATGAATATTTTAGCTAAGGAATAGCTTCTATTAATAAACAATTTAACAATTAAAAAAAATAGCCCTGGCTCGGAGGGGGGACGGATGTAGGCTGTTAGAGGGGATGCAAAGGCAACCACACTTGATGTTTCTCTCTCTCTTTCCTTTAGATAATATATTTTTTATAATATCTACCCTGCAAGACAATTTGTAACATTTGGTCAACTTGATATGGGATGTCTGCCCCGCTCCCCAATCAGGGTGAGCAGCTTATTTACTTGAGAAAGCAAGCTTAGCATGTAGTATTATAACTAAGAAAGGCAGAAATCAGTCAAGCATATTATATAGCCTACTTGAAGAATAGGAGCTGTGAGTCTGAAATGACTAAAATTCCTTTAGTATCTGGACCTGGAGGTTAACAAATCTTGTCACTCAGATCAGGTAACTAATTCCCTTCCTGCCTTCCCAGTACACATCCAGGTGATTACTAGGTTTCCCAGCGTACTTTTTTATCAGTGTGCTGGCTGGCCCTCTTCCCTTGGCGTCTTACCATAAACTCATATGTTGATCAATAGTTCACTGGTGAAGTTTTAAGAATTTTGTTCATGCTAATAAAACTCCCTTGTTCAAGTCTGAGGTGCACCACCAAGAATCCTGGGCCCACAAAGAGGACGGAAGCCCCACCAAAGCACCACCGCCTTTACCAAAGCGACCACCTGTCGTCTTCTGCTACACTAGTTTATCAACAATTTAACCAATAGGATCTGAAAGTTCTCTGTAAACATGTTGGTATAGGTTACTGTCGTTGGCACCATCCTGATTGTTCCACGAACTTGTTCTAGATGATTTGTGTTCGAGGATATGCACTCTAATCTCTGTAGCCTCTTCGTTCTCCTTACAAGTTGCCCACATTCACTGCTGCCCTACACTAAGTCCTAGCTGGACAAGTAGATTGTAAGAGATTTTGTGTCCATTCTATAGCACGATTCTAGCAGTTTGTTTGAATGTCCCCAATGCCCAATAGCATAAAGGATAAATCAATTGTGTGATATGCTTGTAATGGATTACTACTCAGCAGTGAAAAAAAAAATATCCATACATGAATTGACCTCTGAAATAATAAATTGAGAGGGAAAATGATAGAAAAAATAAACTCCAATATTGTTTCTATGACGTTTATATATTTGTGGAACAATGTTTTATACTGTTGATGGATTCAAGTGTATGTAGTAAAATCATAAAGAAATGAATGGGAAAGATGGACGCTGGTTTCAGGGTGTTAATTTTATTAGGAGGATGGGAAACGTGACTGGAGTGGTTGTTCAGGCCTCTTCACATGTATTTGTAATCTAGTTAAATTATAAGTCTACATTTGAAAAAATCAAAAAATAAAAATGGAAAGATCAGGTCAAAAGTTGTAGCAATAATCCAAGGTGAATGGTGAGGTTGACTTAAGGTACTGACAAGTGCAGCTACAGAAGGGACTAAATTAACGTGATGATTCCCAAACTTTTCCACTTTTGTTCCCCTAACTTGAGGTAAATAACTTCCTACTTCCTGATGTAATCCAAAGTACACTACCGTGTAGAATTTTATATTTGAAGTCCATGCGAATTTTGCCTTTTACCCCATAATACCTGCATGTTTGTTCTAAATATCAATATATTTTATATTAATTATAGAAGAGTCCATTTATACTTTTAACTTTGTAATTCTATGCTTGAAATTTTTCTAAGATATAAACATGATACATGAACAAATTCATACCACTATTCTACCATGAAAAATGGCAAACAGTGCCCAATGATAACCATTTTTTTAAGTGAAACATGTACCTAAATAATCATGTATAATTCAGCCATTAAGTTAACTATGTAGATATTGGTGATTTTTTTTAAATCCCTATGATCATTAAAAGGCTGTGTGTGAGTGCGTAATCTGGGACATCATCAATCATGATGGATTTTCAGGAGGACAAATTGTAAACATAAACATATTGATATTTCAGATCCAAGAGGTCATAACCCAGATAGGGAGTTTTATTAAAAGCTCTACCCTCAGAACACTCCTACCATTCCTATTTCTGACAGCCTACCCACACCCACATTCATCAACTACCATGTTATCATAATGTCGTAGAATAACATTGTCATCGTTGTCCTGGTAAAGCATGGAGATGGGGGACAGCTTGGTGGGAATACAGACAGCCTGGGGAATCGCGGGGTCCACAGCATGCATCAGTGCTTGCATGAATGCATAGTTGGAGCTGTTGAGGGAAGTGGTCAATGAGAAAGGACAATCTCCGTGGCAGTAATTTGCCATGAACCCCTTGGGGGCGATGATCCACTTGTGCCAACCCAGGTCCCTGAAGTTGATGAACAGCTGGTGACGATGGCAGAGGTTCTTGCATGAAACATTAGGGGCAGGGAGGACTGCCCTCTTTTTTCGGGAAGAATGGTGGCACTGCTCAGGGTCGAGGGTCACCACCATCAGGGAAGCATGAAGAGAACATCTCAATCTGGCACAGGTGTCCTCAAGCTGGTAATTCACCCCGGAGTCTCTGTGCCCTTTCACCAGTATCTCCAAGAACAAGCCTACACTTTTCTGTGGGTTATTATTCCAGTCCTTAGCCACATCCAGTAGGTTGAAGTGAAGGACACCTTGAGGCCATGGTACTGACTGCAATACAAACACTTTCCCTGGCTTAGGGGTGGCCTGACCCCACACACGAGGCTCCTGAACCAGGGAGAGAGCCAGTTCCAGTTCTGGCCCCAGGTGATAGTAAGTGTTGGGCCCCAAGTCCAGGCCCAGCTGGGCCATTGTTAACTGCTCCTTGTCTTTAACTGCAGACAGGTTGAAGTAGAGGAGCTTCTGTAGGCAAGAGGAAGCCTGGGGAATTTTCTTGGAATAAAGAAAGAAACCTAGAGAGGAACAAAGAGATGTGAGTGTCACTATAACATTAACATATCTTACTTTATATCTGCCTATGATATAAATGCAAAATGTTACATGTATATCACATATGCAAAGTAAGGGCAGGAAATAATCAGTTACACTCAAATCCTACCATTTGGGAGGGTTTATTTCTTTCACTCCTCATTTTTTAATTTACTTTTTTAACTATAGTTGGCATACAATATTATATTAATTTCAGGTGCACAACATAGCAATTACACATTTGTATACCTTAAGAAGTGATCACCAAGGTAAGTGTAGACCCATCTGGCACCATGCATAGCGATTACGATATTACTGACTCTATACCCTATGCTAGACATTACATTCCCATGACCAATTTTATAACTGGCAGTTTGTACTACTTAACCCCCTTAAAAATACGGAACACTTCACAGATTTGCATGTCATCCTTGCACGGGGGCCCTGCTAAACCTCTCTGTATCATTCCAGCTTTCAGTAGCTGCGCTAACAAAGTGAGCACAAGGCCAGAGGTTCGCACCCCACATGTGCAGGTGCCCAAGGGGTCCTGTACACAACTTACATGGTCCATGATGGTGGATGGGAAAAAGAATGACATCTTTATTTTTACTAAACTCTAAATAAAATTTAGCATTTCTTTCAGTCATAAAAATAGTCAACAAATCCCAATAACAATATCAGGGGCTAGGACATTGTTACCGAAAAAAAAAAACCAACAGCTTTGCTCATACATTAAGTTGTTGCAAATATTTTATTTTATTTATTTTTAGAGAGAGCAGAAGGGAGGGAGAAAGAGAGCGAGAGAAACATCAAGTGTGGTTGCCACTCATGTGGCCCCCACTGGGGACCTAGCCCACAACCCAGGCATGTGCCCTGACCCAGAGTCAAACTGGTGACTTTTTGGTTTGCAGCCCATGCTCAATCCACTGAGTCACACCAGCCAAGGCAAATATTTTAAAATAATATGCTCACACTACTTTGAATTTATGGTAGTTAGATAAACTCTACAGATCTTGTTACCTGTATTTGTTACATCAATAATGCATCCTATATGCTATTATATACACATTTGTTTTTAAAATATTTTTCTAAATATATTTTAATATTTAATTGATTTCTTTTGAAATTCTAAATATTTTATTGGAGGCATGTAAACCATTATTCTGAGAAGGCATCCAGTGGCTTCAACAGAACTGCCTAAGGGACCCCCACACAAAACTGTTTAAGAACATCCCAGGCTCAAGGGTTGCCAGTCAAGAGCTAACCACTTAGACTGACTTCAAAACAAACTTCTGTCATCTGGCAAAGACTGACCCTCCAAAAATCTCTTATGATTTACCTTTAGGTAATTCCTTATGTAAAGCCCACCGTTGTCAATATCAACGATGTCTAGTCCTGTATCTCTGGACTTCTTCCCCCACCTTGCTGAACACTGAGGGGCAAAGTGATCCTTCAGTTCCTCCACATGCCTCTGCTTCTCTCTCTTTTGAAGTTGTAGTTGTATTTTTCCCTATTTTCTTTTTTTTTTATATTTTTTTTATTTAAAGGGGAAGGGAAGGAGAGAAGGAGAGAAATATCAATGTATGGTTGCCTCTCATGCGTCCCCTGCTGGGAATTGGCCTGCTACCCAGGCATGTGCCCTGACTGGGAATTGAACCACAATCCAATTTGGTTCACAGGCCCACACTCAATCCACTGACCTACACCAGCCAGGGCTATTTTTCCCTATTTTCAAAATCAACTTCTCTGCCTGGATTTTCTAACCTCATCTATTACTTGAGTAAAAGGTTCAATAGAGTATATTTTTACCTTTTCTTTTAAAAAAGATTTTATTTATTTATTTTTAGAGAGAAAGAAAGGGAGGGAGAAGGAGAGGAACTGAAATATTGATATGCGACACAGACACACTGACGGGTTGCCTCTCACACACCCCCAGCTGCAGACCTGGCCCAAAACCCAGGCTTATGCCCTGGCTGGGAATCAAACCAGCGACCCTCTGATTGGCAGGCTGGTGCTAAGTCCACTGAGCCACACCAGCCAGGGCTGCAATCTCATTTTAAAAATAAGAAAATTAGCCCTGGTTAGTGTAGCTCAGTGGATTGAGCACAGGCCTACAAACCAAAGGATTGTGGTTCAATTCCCAGTCAGGGCACATGCCTGGGTTGCAGGCCAGTTCCCAGCAGGGGACCCACGAGAGGCAACCACACACTGATATTTCTCTCCCTCTCTTCTTCCCTTCCCCCTCTAAAAATAAATAAATAAAATCTTTTTAAAAAAAGAAGAAAATTTAAAAAATTTAAATTACCAATTTTCTCTTCAAGCTCAATGTATTATCTCTCCCTTTCCTTTCATTGACCATCTTTTAAAAAGGTCAGTCTAGCATTGACTAGTGTGGCTCAGTGGACTGAGTGACGACCTGCAAACCCGGAGGTTACCAGTTCAATGCCCAGTCAGGGCACATGCCTAGGTTGGAGGCCAGGTCCCCAGCTGAGGGTGTGCAAGAGGCAACTGATTAATGTATCTCTCACACATTAATATTTCTCTCCCTGTCTTTCTCCCCCTTCCCTTCTCTCTAAAAATAAAATCTTAAAAAAAAAAAAAAGACAAGAATAGTCTACATTTGCTGTCTCTACCTCTTACTCATACCCTTCTGTTATTTTCCAGCTCTTCTAGCCTTACCACTCCAGTGAAACATCATTCTTAAAGCTCATTAACTTTCAGGTTCAGGGGTGTTTTCATGGACTTATTCTTCTCTGAACAGTTAATCTCTCCTGTTTATGGTTCCAATTCTAATATATTGGTCTCCTCTTTTACTCGTATCACTAAATCACGTCCCTTTGGCTTAAGAAAAAAGAAGCCCGAAACCCAAAATGGAAAAGATGAACAGATGAAAATTAAAAACTTCTATATTTAAAAGACATTATTAATAACACACACAAAAAAAACAACCAAGAATGCTTATAATGTACAAGACAAGTTAAAATTCATGGCGATAAAGAGCTTTTTGAATGATTAAGGGGCCTTACAAATCATTAAGACCAATGAAGAATCCTCAGTAGGAAAGGGGTCATATATAATCTGTAAAGCAACTATTTGAAAAATAAAAATGAATGGTTCATTTATTTGAAAAGTTCATTATTCATTTGAAAAGACATCATTCCATCTTATTAAAAAATTAAAATTAAAATGAGATTATGTTTTTCCTCCCAGGTTAACAAAAATTAAAAGCTAAAGATGTTCCCTAATGAGCATTCAGTGTAACATGGGTAAGCACACTGTTGTATATTACTAGAATGAAACACTATACAGCAATGACAATGAACCACAAATACACAGAGCATGGGACCATCTCACAAATATAATGTTGAGTGAAAGAACCCAGACACAAGAAAGAACACATTTCACATTTCCATTTATATGAAGTTCAAAAACAGGCAAAACTCGGATGTAATGTTAGATACCAGGACAGAAGTTACCCTTGCAGAGGTGTGGTGATTAACCAGAAGGGGGCATGAAGGATTCTCTGGGGTGCTGGTCATACCCTGTTTCTTGATCTGGGTGCTGGTTTTCTGTGAAAATTCATTGAGCTGTTCGCTATGATTTAAGCCCTTTTCTGGATGTATGTTATATTGATACTTCATTAAATTCTTTTTTTGTCTATTTATTTATTTATTTTATTTTCAAAGACAGGGAAAGGGAGGGAGAAACAGAGAGAGAGGAACATCATTGTGTCAGAGCTACGTTGATCAGCTGCGTCTCACACGCCCCCATCTGGGGACCTGGTCCTGACCAGAAATCAAACTGACAACATTTCAGTTCACAGGCAGTCACTCAATCCACCACACTGAGCCACACCAGCCAGGGCAAGGTCTTATTTTTAAAAAGATTGCTGTTAATGGTGGGGAAGTGAGAATTCTGACACTCGTGGTGGGGTATAAATTTTGGAGAACATTTGCTATATATGGAAAGTCTGTAAGATGACAGCATAGGCAGACATGGCTCACCTCTTCACACATCAGAATTACACCTAAAATATAGACAAACCACTACTCAGAACCAGCAGATCGAGTTGCAAGTCTGACAACTGTGGAATTAAAGAAACTACACCCATCCAGACTGGTAGGAGGGGTGCAGAAGCAGAACAGGCTGGTCTTATACCCACGTGTGATGGATAACAATTTGGGAGAGACATCTCAGGAACCAGGATTCCCAGAGCCACAACAGCCCCCCAGCCCAAGGTTCCAGTGTCAGGAAGATAAGTCCCCGCAACTTTGGATGCAAAAACCAATAGGGGTTGAGTTGGTGGAAGAAATTTCTGGAGCCCCAAGAAGTTGCTCTTAAAGAATACACACACAGACTTCCATACTCAGACTCCCTCTAACCTCCAGCACCAGGATAGCAGCTTGAAAGGCAACAGTGCCATAAGGGAGAAACTAAAGTGTCTGGCACCAAGGCAAGCAAAAGCCATTGTCCCTTTTCTAAACCCTGCCCCCCATGGAGCCAGTAGGCTAACGCCCTATCTGAGACTCCATCAACCTGGCTAACACTGTTTGCCCTGCCCTGGAAATCCCCAGAAATTCTGCTCCACCCAACATACAGGCCTACCTAAACTGCCTTTTCATATGAATGGCTGGTCTTGGCTCATGCTTCACAACGTCCTATATTCTCTCAAACAGGAAACAGCTGCCTTCAGTGAGCCCCAGGCCCAGCACTCGCAGCAGCCCGCCTGCATTCACAGCTTGGCTTTGCCTGGGAATCTCCAAACCTAGCACAAGTAGCAGCCATCTCAGATTGCTTATGGCTCAGGCAGGGTGGCTCCAGGCAAACACAGGCTGACCTGGGCCTGCACCACCCAAGAAATCACAGGGCCAGCACACCCAGTGGACAGCTACAGACCATGTTGGAGCACCACCACTCTGCCCCTGCACAGTTGATCCTCCAGGAAGGACAGAGATTGATGGTAAGTGGTCACAGACAATTTTTACAGCTGACCGGCCTAGGTAAACCCCCCCCCCCCCACTGATTTGCCAACAGCGACCAAGGCTCAGCTACCAGAGGAGGGTATACTCAGCCCACATGAAGGGTGAACATCAAGTACCCAGCTTGGGTGATAGGGGAGGCTGTGCCACTGGACCCTGCAGGGGTCCACTGGACCCTACAGGACACCTACTACATAAGGCCATACTACCAAGATACAAGTCAAAGCAGCTCTAACTAATGCATAGAAACAAACACAGGGAAGCTGCCAAAATGAAAAGACAAAGAGACATGGCCCATATGAAAGAACAGAGCAAAACTCCAAAAAAGCACTAAATGAAATGGCTATAAGTAATATATTAGATGCAGAGTTTAAAACACTGTTTATAAGGATGCTCAAGAAACTTAATAAGCCCTCGCTGGTGTAGCTCAGTGGATTGACTGCGGGCCTGTGAACCAAAGGATTATGGTTCGATTCCCAGTCAGGGCACATGTCTGGGTTGCAGGCCAGTTCCCAGCAAGGGG